TTCTGACTGCATAGTATTCCATCGTGTATATGTATCACATTTTAAAATCCAGTCTTCTTTTGATGGACAGCATGGTTGCTTCCAGGTTCTTGCTATTGTGAACAATGCTGCGATAAACATACGTGTGCAGGTATCTTTTTTATAGAGTGATTTGAGTTCTTCAGGGTATATTTCCAGTAGGGGGATTGCGGGGTCATATGGGAGGTCAATATTTAGAGCTTTTAGGAATCACCATACTGTCTTCCACAGAGGTTGCACTAGTTTGCACTCCCACCAACAGTGTAGGAGTGTTCCCTTTTTGCCACACCCTCTCCAGCAACTGTTATTTTTTGAGTTATTGATAATTGCCATTCTGACTGGAGTTAGGTGGTATCTCAGTGTGGTTTTGATTTGCATCTCCCTGATGATTAGTGAGGTTGAACATTTTATCATGTGTCTGTTGGTTGCTCGGATGTCTTCCTTTGAGAAGTGTCTGTTCATATCTTTTGCCCATTTTATAATGGGGTTGTTTGTTTTTTTCTTTTCAGCACATTTGAGTTCCTTGTAGATCCAAGATGTTAAGCCTTTGTCAGACCTGGAGTTGGCAAATACTTTTTCCCAGTCTGTAGGCTGTCTCCCTGCTCTCTTGATGGTTTCTTTGGCTTTGCAGAAGCTTGTCAGTTTAATAAGTTCCAACTTGTCTCTCTTATCTCTTATGGCCTGTGGGTTTCAGGTTTTGTTGAGGAATTGGATGTCAGTTCCAATTTCCATGAGGGTATGTCCTTCATTTTCTAAGGTTCTTATGGTTTGAGGTTTTACATTTAGGTCTGTGATCCATTTAGAGTTAATTTTCATGTATGGGAATAGATAGGGGTCCTGCTTCAATCTTCTGCATGTGGTCAGCCAGTTTTCCCAGCACCATTTACTGAATAGGTTCTCCCCTCCCCAGTGGTAGGTGATGGAGGCTTTGTCGAAGATGAGTTGGTTGAGAGATTGTGGTTTTGCTTCTGGAATCTCAATTCCATTCCATTGGTCTATATGCCTGTTCCTGTACTAGTACCAAGCTGTTTTGATTATTGTAGCTTTATAGTAAAGTTTAAAGTCTGGTAATGTGATACCACCTGCTTTGTTTTTTGGTTTTTTTTTTTTTTGCTGAGGATTGTTCTGGCGATTCTTGGACATTTGTGTTTCAATATGAATTACTGTGTTGTTTTTTCTAGCTCTGAGAAGAATGTTGCTGGTAATTTGATGGGTATTGCATAAAATATGTAGATTGCCTTAGGTAGGATGGACATCTTCACAATGTTGATTCTTCCAATCCATGAGCATGGGATATTTTTCCACTTGTTTATGTCATCTTTGATTTCTTTGAGCAGTGTTTTATAGTTTTCATTGTAAAGGTCTTTCACGTTTCTGGTTAGGAAGATGCCAAGGTATTTCATTTTTTTGTGGCTATTGTGAATGGGATTGTGGTTTTTATTTGAGTTTCTGTTTGTTTATTATTGGTGTAAAGAAATGTGATTGTCTTTTGCACATCTATTTTATATCCTGAGACTTTGCCAAAGTCCTTTATCAGTGTAAGGAGGTTTCTGACAGGTTCTCTTGGGTTTTCAAGGTACACGATCATGTCATCTGCAAAGAGAGATACCTTGACCTCCTCTTATCCTATTTGAATATCCCTGATTGCCTTCTCTTCTCTGATTGCTCTAGCCAGGACTTCCAATATTATATTGAACGGGGGGGTGACAGTGGGCATCCTTGTCTTGTTCCCGTTTTCAGGGGAAATGGTTCCAGTTTTTATCCATTTAGGAGTATGCTGGCTGTGGGTTTCTCGTAGATGGTTTTACTATTTTGAGGTATTTTCCCCATATGCCTAGCTGCTCGAGCATTTTTATCAGGAAGGGTTGCTGGATTTTATCAAAAGCTTTTTCTGCATCTAATGATATAATCATGTGGGTTTTGTTTTGACATCTGTTGATGTATTTAATTACATTTATGGTTTTACGAATGTTGAACGAGACTTGCATCCCAGGGATGATGCCTGCTTGGTCATGATGGATGATTTTTGAGATGTGTTGGTGAATTCGGTTTGCTAGGATCTTGTTGAGAATTTTAGCATCTATGTTCATCAAAGATATTTGCCTGTAGTTCTCTTTCTTTGTTCGGTCTTTACCTGGCTTGGGTATCAATGTGATGTTGGCATCATAAAATGATTTGGGGAGAGTTCCATCTTTCTCAATCACCTGGAATACCTTGAGTAGGATTGGTATAAGCTCCTCCTTAAAAGTCTCATAGAATTCTGCTGGAAAGCCATCTGGTCTAGGGCTTTTTTTTTTTTTGTAAGTAATTTTCTTATTATGTAGTCAATTTCCTTGATGGTTATTGGTCTATTTAGAGACTCAATTTCTTCTTGTTTCTACCTAGGCAGGTTGTGTGATGACAGAAAATCCTCCATTTTGGAAAGGTTTTCAAATTTGTTTCCATATAAGTGTACATAGTAGGCTCTAATGATCTTTTGTATTTCTTCAGGATCAGATGTGACTTCATCTTTTGTGTTTCTGATTGTGCTTATTTGGGCTTGTTCTCTCTTTTTCTTGGTAACTCTAGCTAGGGGACCATCAATCTTGTTTATCCTTTTGAAGAACCAGCTTTTTGTTTCATTGATTTTTTGTATTATCTGTTGTCTTCTATGTCCTGGATTTGGGCTTTTATTTTGGTGATCTGGATTCTTCTGCTGAAATTAGAGTTTTTGTGATCTTGCTTTTCCAGCTTCCTTAGGTGGTTTCTTAGGCTGTTAATTTGTGATCCTTCCATTTTCTTCATGTGCATTTGTAGGGATATAAATTCCCCTCTTACTACAGCTTTCATGGCGTCCCAGAAATTTTGGTAAGATGTTTCTCCATTTTCATTTGTTTCCGGGTATCTTTTAATCTCTGTTTTGATTTCATCATTGATCCAGGAGTTGTTTAGCATCATGCTGTTTAGTGTCCATGTCTTTGTGGGTTTTGGGGGGATCTTATTGGTGTTAATGCTTATTTTTATTCCACTGTGGACTGAGAAGGTGCATAGTAAAATTTCAGTCCTTTTAAGTTTGCTTATCTTGACTTATGGTCAAGTATGTGGTCGATCTTAGAGTACGTTCCATATGATGATGAGTAGAATGTGTATTCTGTGGTCTTTGGATGGAAGGTTCTGTAGGTATCAATTAAGTCCATTTGATCAAGAGTCACATTGAGGTTTCAGATCTTGTTGCTGATTTTTTGTCCTGATGATCTGTCTAGGGTTGTGAGTGAGGTATTAAAATCCCCAGCTATGATGGTATTGGAGTCAATATCTTTTTTTAGTTTACCTAGGAGCTGTTTTATGAAAGTTGGTGCTCCTATTTTCGGTGCATATATGTTTAGGATGGATATTTCTTGTTGATGGATTGAACCTTTTATCATTATGTAGTAGCCTTCTGTATCTTTTTTAATTTTTGATAGCTTAAAGGGTATGTTGTCTGAGATTAAGATCGTGACTCCTCCTTTCTTTTGTGTTCCATTCACCTGAAAATTTGTTTCCCATCCTCTTACTTTGAGTCTGTGAGTGTCCTTTCTAGAGAGGTGAGTCTCTTGGAGGCAATAGATTGCTGTCTGTTGATGTTTTAT